AAATCTGACAACCAGTTCTATATATTCACTGATAAAAAGAAGTACAGCGAGGCAGCCAAGTCCTGCATGGACCAGGGAATGATGCTTATTGACTTGAAAGATGAGAATGTCCACCATACTCTACTTGATAAGATGCAACAACAAGGTATTACCAATGAAAATATATGGATTGGTCCAAGAACCGTTGGCAATCTGCTGTTGACAATGAGTGGTTCCGTGGCTACATATCAACCATTTGCTGAAAACCAACCTGACGGCGATGGACCATGCGTACATTTTTGGTAAGACAATCATCTTTAGAGTGACATAGTCGGCTGTGACGTGTTTTTAGATTAAATATTCAAGAAGGTTATGTGAATTTAAATTTCGTTTTCATAAAATGAAATTCTTCTGCAATTTAAATTGATTAATAAACTATATATACATATAATTACCATTACATATATTTTATTAATTTCAATAGGAACAACCACAAAGGCCAGAAACTAAATGACATATCATGTAATAATGCATTCATGTATGTATGTGAACGACAAGGTTTGTATTTTCAATTTTATATTAAATTAATATTATTGTTTTCATGTAGATGGAATATCACATAATCATATTTCATAAACAAAGTAAATATCATTAATCTTGTCAGTATAATGGAATTTAATCAACATCTAATAATTCTAGAGGGATGCCGGAAGGAGGGTCATAAAGCCTGATTAACAGGGAATAGTATTGCAAATCATATTTGTGATTGTATGTTCCAGTCAGAAATGCTAAATAGAACGCCCAAGATATTTCCCAATAACACTTTAGTGGCTTATATTGACTGAATGGTATTTTCTTCACAGACGATGAAATGAAAAGCATGGTGGAAATATTGGATAGTCTCGATGTGAATGAATACAAAGTTCAGTGGGATGAATCTGGACTTGCATGTGCCAACAAAGGTATACAATTAGCCAAAGACGATAGCCAGGTTGCTCACATGAGTCTATTGAATAAACTACTGCTTGATGACGTCACTGCGGACATGTGGATAGATGTTCTTAAACAAGGTTCTGATATAGTTTCAAGTGATGGACAAGTACAAAGTTATAGAGCCTTTCATCCTGGCCAGCCAGATGGTAACGGAGATTGTATCCAGTTGTGGTAAGCATTGCTTTTGTTCTATGCAGTTTACATTTGACAGATACGATGATATATATGAATTCATTCATAATAATTGATTGTATCCAGTTGTGGTAAGAACCACCTTTGTTCTTTTTTAAATTCATTTAACATTTTAAAGAAAGTATTTATGAATTGATTCACGTTAATTAATATTATAATTGGATTCCTGTGTGGTAATTTGATGACTTATGTATAATGTATCTGTACGTTAGGTCACCTCACAAACACCAATGGGACGATGATAGTTGTACCAGAACAAAGGGATATATATGCCAAGGAGGTAAGAATACAACCACTGGTCATATCTTATTTAAATTCAAAATAGTAAAGAAATCAATGTGACTACAACATCTAACTTTATAATGCTTCGAGTCCTCATAGCAGTTTTGTAATTGTGCATTTATATAGAAGCACATGTAATGAGAAAGCCGAAAATAACCTGGTAGTGAAACCATTTAAACATAATGTAATTCATCACTCATTATAGTAAATGTAAAATCATTTGGTGTGGCGCTGACTTAACGATCAGTATATTTGTAAATTATAATTATCAGGTAATCCCAACAGAAATACAGAAATACTACAATTAACAACAGCATTCTTTATTTACAAAACAATTTGTTGTAGACATATCTATATCTGACAACCAGTACTATATATTCACTGACAAAAAGAAGTACAGCGAGGCAGCCAAGTCCTGCATGGATCAGGGTATGATGCTTATTGACTTGAAAGATGAGAATGTCCATCATACTCTACTTGATAAGATGCAACAACAGGGTATTACCAATGAAAATATATGGATTGGTTCCAGAACCGTTGGCGGCCTGTTTTTAACGATGAGCGGTTCCGTGGCTACATATGAACCCTTTGCTGAAAACCAACCTGATGGCGATGGACCATGCGTACATCTTTGGTAAGACAATTATCGTTAATTGATGGCTACCCGTTTTACATTAGTAGGTGTGAATAATCAACTTCTGTGACAAGTATTTAAATATAATCATTCCATGTTGTTACGTGCATTTGATTCTTGTTTTCCAATCAATGATCTTCATTGGCAATATCAATAGGTTACTAAACTGCATGTACACATAGTTACCATTACATTTATTTTCTTCATTTCGATAGGAACGTACACAATGGCGAGAAAATAAATGACATATCATGTAATAACGCATTCATGTATGTATGTGAACGACAAGGTTTGTATTTCCAATCTTTTATTCAATTATTATTATTGTTTTCATTGGCATGGAATGTCACTAAATCATATGTTGTGAACAACAAAAAAGTTATTAACTTCAGTATAGACAAATTTAATCAGCATCCAATAATTCTGAAGAGATTTCGTATTTTTGTACTTTAGCAAAGAATAATAAATAACACTTTATAAAATGTGGCTTTGTTAACAGATGATGCAATGAAAAGCATGGTGGAAATACTGGACAGCCTCGATGTGAATCAATTCAAAGTTCAGTGGGATGAATCTGGTCTGCATGTGCCAACAAAGGTATGCAATTAGCCAAAGACGATAGCCAGGTTGCTCACATGAGTCTATTGAATAAACTACTGCTTGATGACGTCACTCCGGACATGTGGATCGATGCCGTAAACAAGGTTCTGATATAGTTTCTAGTGATGGACAAGTACAAAGTTATAAACCATTTAATCCTGGTCAGCCAGATGGTAAGGAGATTTATCCAGTTGTGGTAAGCATTGCTTTTGTTCTATGCAGTTTACATTTGACAGATACAATGATATATATGAATTCATTCATAATAATTAAATATGTGAGGTTTCCGTGTGATATTTTGATGACTGGTGTATACTTTATCTGTAGGTCCCCTCACAAACACCAATGGGACGATGATAGTTGTACCAGAACAAAGGGATATATATGCCAAAGAGGTAGGAATAAAACTACTGAACATGTTTTGTTAACTTCACACACGGGGGTCTACGGGGAAAATTCTTCTATTACACATCGCAGTCTTGTAATTGTGTAGTTTTAGAGAACAAAACGTAATGGAACAATCAAAACAAGTTAAATATATCACCACCACATAATATATATACTTAATATATTCAAATTGTATATAAATTGTATATACTCGTGTAATCAGCCTATATATAAATTCTAATTATCGAGTTTTTCTAACAGAAATTGAAGCTCCTACCCTTGAACCTACACAGGAGCCTACTGAGGAGCCAACCAAGGAACCTACACAGGAGCCAACTGAAGCACGAACCCAGGCTCCACCAAAGATACAAACCGAGGCAGTAGACGGTAAAACGGAGCCACCAACTGCCCTACCTACTATTATACGTGAGTACTTCTTTGATGTACTGTTGTATTTTGGAGATATGGTACCATCAAATTTTCCACCATAGCTATCTATCACTATTTCGTTTATAGATTGAAAACATTGTAGATCAGTGAAATATAAGTCATTGTTTGGAACGGATATTAAAATGAAAGAAGTATAACATATTTTAATTATTATTATGACTATTAGCACTCGTTAATGTGGC